GGAGGAGGGGGGAAATAAAAGCAACCTGCAGCAGGGGCTAGGCAGGGACGAAGCCAAAGAGCAGTGGGGTGAGGAACCTGGCCTGGGTCTCCTGGAGGGGCGGGGGCTGGACTGGGAGCTGCTGGGGGCAAAAGGGCAGCTCCCGGGGAAAGAGCTGCCCAGGCTTCAGCCCAGGCCTCTGCAAGGAATTTGGCTCCTAAGACCTATTCCACCTCCCTTCCACTGGTCCCAGTCCCTCCTCAGCCTCCTCTCTGAGCTCCCCCTGCCCAATTTTCTGGCAGGTGATTCCCCTCCTTTGCTCCTTGCGACCCCCTGCCAACCATCCTGCCCCAGATCCTGAGCTGGCATGCACGACCCTGGTCTCTCCCACCCTGTGGCCATTCCTGTAACAGGACTCCGTGTCAGGGACCCTTCTTTGAGCTTAGAGCTTAGAGGCATGGGGGCGGGGGCGTGTAACCTCTGTGGACTCTAGCCCCTGGAGGTATCTGGTGAAGGCGCATCCTGCATAAATCAAGCTCCCTCTCCTTAGAAAATAAACTAGGGCCCTATCAGCATCTGAGATCAGGATCAGATAAAGCCGACAGAAACAAGGTCACGGGAGGCCACATGGCCACCTGGCCAGCCCATCCTTGGCCACGGGACCCAGAGTGCCCACTTGGCCTGGTCGTCTTATTTGCTCGACTTTGTCAAGAGGCCACAGAAGCTCAAGAACATAGCAAGGTCCGTTCTATAAGCACCCTGGGCCGCTCCTAAATGCACCATGAATAGGAACCTTTTCCTTTTGAAATCCACACGCATGATTCTTCTAGTTCAAGTGAAAATTAGTATTGAGATGACGCCATTCTGCTGGGGAGATGTGAAAATGATTTCTGGACAGTCCTGATCCAGTGTAAGTGGCAGGTAGGATAACCACTTATGAAGAACTCACTGGGCAGCTTCTGTGGAGGTCTGAGCCTTGTTTTCACAGCAATTCCACCTCCTTCCCCAGTGTTTTTCCAAGAAACCAACACTTGGGCTGGGACTGGAGTAGGCCAGGAAGACAAGGGACATCACAGTCTCATATAATGTGATGTGGAATCACGTTATATGTGGAATCACGTACGTATGTCACCTTTGCCGCATTCTATTGGTCAGGGGTAGGTCCTACCCTTACTCAAGGTTATGAATACTAGGAGGCAGGGATCATGGGGACACCTGGTCTCCTGGGCCCCCCGTAGCCTGTTTGCTGTAAGTACCTACCCTATGGGACTCCTCTGAGGATCCGATGAGGCTATATGTAAAGTGTTAAAGCCTGACACATAGTTAACACTTGAAATACCCTGGTCGATAGTTATGTTCTCAGATGAGTTCCCTCTCCCAAGCAGAATCCATCAGTTCTACCCTTGTAACCCCAATGCAATTACTATTTCTCTCTATCACTTTCTATTGCAAACATATATATTGATATTCTCAACCTCATTCCCTGATGGGCAGGTGTGTGGCTGTCAGTGGGTTTGAAGGTAAAGGTTGCTTAATATGTGGGGAGCCCCTATGCCATGTCAGGCATTTTTCATAGGGTATCTCACTGACATCTCCCAACAACTCCATAACTAGAGACTGTCACCCCCATTTCATAGATGAAGCATCAGAGGCTTGAGGGGCTTAGTAACCTGAACGAAGTGGGTAGCAGAGGAAGGATATGGACCCAGCTGTTCCTGGTTCTAACATGCATGCTGCTTGTTGTCTGCCTTGGCCAAGTTTGGCTCATTACATGGAAGAGGCAGAACCTGGAGCAGGGAGATCCACAGTGGCTACTGAAGAAATGGTGGTGGGCTCTGAAGGTGCAGACAGAGAACACCTTCCCATGAGTGGGTGGTCAGAAGGCAAGTAGAGGTCTCCATAGGCAGAAAGAAATAACTATCAGTTAGCCTCGAGGTGGAAAATTGATTGCTTCACCGATCACCCTCCTTGGCCAGGTCTCCCACTCCTCAACCCTTGGACCTGCTCTGAAAAAAGCCTCAGAGCTGCAGGTGAGAACAGTTTGGTCCCTGGTCCTTCAGCTGGCCTTTGTCCATGTCATGTCTGAGATAAGGCTATGTCTTCTGGCCAAGTTGTCCATCTCTGGTACCTGTGACCTGAAGGATTCACTCTTGGGGGTAGGTGCCACCAAAGTCTTTGAGAAGCACTTTGATCTCTCCAGAATGTCTCCCGGGATTGCCTGGTACTGACAGTGCACTCATGCCTGGGCGCAATGCTCTCCTCTTCCAGCAGAGGGAACCCTTCACAAGCCCCAAGCCGCCGGGGACCCGCTTGCTGGAAGGATTCCGGACCACAAACAAGGAGGCACTGTGCAGGGATTGGAAGGCTGGGTAAGAGTCACTGATACCTCTGCACAGTTCTGTTCAGCTCCTCCTCGGTACTGGGCCAAAATGGCAGGGCAGACAAGATGTCAAAGGCAGACAGTCTAGACAGAGCGTGGTATAGATGGAACTGGCAAAGTTATCCCACCAAGGAAGCAGCATGAGTAGACCTGGACGAGAGGTAATTCAGGGTGTGTCTGGCGATCAGGAATAATGAGGATTATCCAGGCTCATACGATAAAGAATAAGAATGTGGTGGTGGTGGGGTGGTGGGGGCAGGGGTGGTGCTGATGCTCCATTGTAAGGATCAAACACGCCAGTGCCAGCAGCTGGTTTTGAATGAGGAGCAATGAATGTTTGAGACAAGGAGTGACATAAGTATGCACTTAATGTTTGAACTAATGATAAAACCAAAGAGTGGCTTAGTAATCAAGTAGATCGTGACTACTAGAGAAAAGACTGGATGGAGACTCTGCAGATAATAACAAAACAAGAACGTCCAGAGCAAACTTGCAAAGTGGTAAAAGAAACTCAAGCCAACCATGGAACTGAAGAATGGGGGTTTAGGAAAGTTTTGCTCATTTCAAGGTGAAAATGTGCACTATTTTCTTCTAAAGGTTTTATTTAGATTCATTTGTCCATGTTGATATCCAATTAACTTAATGCCATTTATTTAAAAGACTACCCGTTCTCCTACTGTACTGTATCATCACTTCTGTCACAAATCTGGGAATATTCATGTCTGAGTCTGTTTCTGGACACTTTTCTATTCCACTAGTCTGTTTGTCTCTCCTGTTGATACCACATTGCTAATTACTATAGCTTTAAAATAGGTCTTTATATCTTATAGTAAGATTCTGTTTCTCTGGAGAACCCTAATACAGCTATTCGCTTCCCTTTACATACGCATATGCATTTTAAAATCAGCTTGTTAATCCTTCCCACCTCCAAAAGCCTGCTAAGATTGATGGGGATTGTGTTGAATCTATAGGTCTATTTGAAGAGAATTAACACCTCCACCATATTAAGCCTTACAATCCGAAGCAATTGCATAGTGTATCCTTCCATATTTTGGGTTGTCTTTCATTGTTCTCTCTGATTTTATTAAATTAGCTCTTAAGTATTTGATTGATGCCATTTTAGACGTCATTTTAAATTCTGTATTATGTTTGTTGCTGTTATAAAAAAATGCAACTGGTTTGTGTACATTGACACTATATCCAAGACCTAGATAAATTGACTTAACTCTAATAGTTTATCCATTCTTTGAGGAAATGTCTTAGCCATTGTTATCTTCAACTATTCCTGTCTCATCCTTTCTTCTCTTTCCCTCTCTTTCAGTAACTCCAACTACACATTGTCAGACCCTTTAAACTGTGTGCCATGCTCTCTATGTTCTGTCCTGTTTTGTTTCCCCTTTTTTCCCTCTCTGAGCTTCAATTTTGATGTTTTCTATTGGTTTATCTTCCAGTTCATGAATGCTGACATCTGCTATATCCAATCTGCTCTCAATTGATTTCTTTGCTGCAAATATTATGTTTATTAGTTCCAGGATGCCCACTTGATGCTTTTTTTGAAAGATAAAACTTTATCTGATAATCTCTACACTTTTAATCATTTTGTCCATCATTCTATTTCTTTGGACATAATTATAGTTAAAGTTCTTGTCTAGTAACTCCGGTTTACTGGTGGGCCTCCTTCTATTGTCTGCTTTTTCTCTTGGTTTTTAGTTAAATGGTCTTTTCTCTTGAGTAATATATAAAGGAATGCCAAATTATTTTGTACAAAAGCACTGGAAAGGCTCTAGTGTTTTCCCCCCAAGTACAGTTAACCCTATTCTCTGCTAGGCAGACAGAGTGAACTATTAAACAGTTTAATCCCCATAGGGACTGAACTGAGTCAGGGTTAAGTTGCAGTTTGGAAAAGAATCAGTCTATGTGGCCAGGCACAGTGGCTCACTTTGTAATCCCAGCACTTTGGGATGCCAAGGTGGGTGGATCGCTTGAGCTCAGGAGTTTGAGACCAGCCTGGGCAACAGTGAGACCCCCATCTCTACAAAAACAAAAAATACAAAAAGTAGCTGGGTGTGATGGTGCATGCCTGTAGCCCCAGCTACTTGGGAGGCTGAGGTGGGAGGATCACTTGAACCCCGGAGGGCAAGGCTGCAGTGAGTCAAGATCGAGCCACTGCACTTCAGCCTGGGTGACAGAGTGAGACTCTATTTAATAAAAAAAAAAAAAAGCCTATCTACCTCTAGTTTGCCCTGTTCTTAGAGTATGACCTTCAATCAAGAGGCTGATAGGTCTTTGTCTCAGCACCGTGAACAAAAGTTCTCTGGAAAGGATATTGGAGGAAAGAGACTTTATATTCCAGTGAATAGTTTGCACACCAGGGAGATGCAGCCTTCAGTGTAAAACAAGATGTGTTCCAGAGAACAAAGGGAGGCTTAGGGTTCTGTAGCAAAAGTTTCCACCCAGGTTCCCAATCAGGTCCATTTATGCAACTGAGAGATTCAGACTCAGGTAGTTCCAATTAGTTGGTACAGCTGAGCCTTGATTGGTCAAGGCAGGTGGGCTCTGACTGGTTGGTTTAGACGTGCTCTGAAAGTCCTCAAGTCGAACAGAGGTGTTGGATTTCTGAGAACTCAGAGTACCTATGTAATTTCTAGTTAGCAGATGGCTGCTTGGCTCTATTTTACATTTAGGCCCCATTAGCCACTAAGGATCTTTCTTGAAAGATTGGCTCTTTCGGGTTCACATTTGCTCATGACACTAGGAGACTGCAGGAAATTATTTTGCTTTTGGGGGTTTGGCTTTGCTCTTCAGCATCCTGCCCTGAACTGCTTCAAATTGTAAAAAGCCTGGGGTTAGAGGGTACTGGCCACACATCTGAGATTCCCTGAAGTCTCCACATTTGTCCAGCTGCACAAAGACTCATGGCTAATGTTCTCAGGAAAGCGCAGCTGCAGATGCCTGACAGCAGGGGTCAGTTCACCTGCTCTCCAGCGTTTTCTGCTCCCACCAAGTTGTTCTCAGGAACTCCACCCCTTGGTGAGCCTTTGTCTTCTCAGGAGACCACAGGGAGCCTGGGCAACATGGTCAGACCCATTCTACAAAAAATACAAAAAGTACCCGGGTGTGGTGGCACGTGCCTGTGGTCCCAGCTACTTGGGGGCTGAGGTGGGAGGATCACTGGAGCCTGAGAGGTCCAGGCTGCAGTGAGCTATGATTGTGCCACTGCATTCCTGCCTGGGTGACAGAAAGAGACCTTGCCTCAAAAAAAAAAAAAAAAAAAAAACCCACAGGAAATTCCACTCTACTTTCCTGAGGTCTTCAACTTAGCCTGTTAGCCTCTCACATCACACAGCTTCACAGTTCAGCATGTCTCAAGGAGGAAGCTGGCTGGATGCTTGAGGCCCCTCAGGCCTTTAATTTGATTACTCCACAGCAGCCCCCAACTGGACTCAGCACGAATTTCAGTCCTTAGCCTGTGCCCAGAAGTATCAACTGACAGCAAGGGAAAGGCATCTGCAGATGCTCACCTCTGAGCTGTCCTCCCTTCTCCAGAATTTTACTTCCTCTGGCCCTTGTTGCTTCCATAGCTCCCCGACGGTTTGGAAAATACAATCTTTATTTTTATCTAGATTTTCCATAGCGTGGCTGTAGTGTTACCAGAAAGGGGTCCCAATCCAGACCTCAAGAGAAGGTTCTTGGACCTCATGCAAGAATTTGGGGCAAGTCCATAGGGTAAAGTGAAAGCCGTAAATACAGAATGGCTACTCCATAGGCAGGGCTGCTGGTTGGCTATTTTCATGGTTATTTCTTGATTATATGCTAAACAAGGGGTGCATTATTCTTGAGTTTTCCAGGAAAGAAGTGGACAATTGGACCGGAGGGCTCCTCCCCTTTAGACATATAGGGTAACTTCCTGATGTGTCCATGTCATTGTAAACTGTCATGGTGCTGGTGGGAGTGTCTTTTATCATGCTACTATATTATAATTAGTGAATAATCAGCAGTGAGGACGACTAGAGATCACTTTTGTCACCATCTTGCTTTTGGTGAGTTTTGACTGGCTTTTTTTTTTTTTTTATCACAACCTGTTTTATCAGCAAGGTCTTTGTGACCTGTATCCTGTGCTGACCTCCTATCTCATCCTGTGACTTAGAATGCCTAAGCTCATGGGAATGCAGTCCAGTAAGGTCTCAGTCTTATTTTACTCAGCCCTTATTCAAAATGGAGTCACTCTGGTTCAAACGCCTCTGAAAGTAGCATTGGCCTGTTGCAAACCACTTCATCTTACCCTAAGAGAGGGAGAGCTTTTTTTTTTTCTTTTTTTTTTTTTAAGGTAGAAGGAATTAAATTATGTCTTTGTGCTGATGGAATTGAAGCAGGAGAGAATGGCAAGGTATAAACTGAAGGCAAGCACAGTGGTGAGAGCCCAAGGGGATGACTTGGCTTGAAGGAAGGAGGGACTCTTCTTCCAGTGTAACTGAAAGGAACAAGGAGAATCAGCTCAGAGGCAAGTAAGGGTTTTAGGTTTGGGGGCAAGAAGAGGAAATTCCCTTCCTCCACCTTTCACAACATGAAATTACAAATGGTTATTTTGTAATTTTCTAAGACCTAACCTTGGAAAATAAACATATGAAAATATTAAGAACATGTTTATGACCTTCGATAGGGATGACCTTCTGAAAGATGATGCACAAAGCAAAAGTATGACATTTTTTTTTTTTTTTTTTTGAAATGGAGTTTCGTTCTTGTTGCCCAGGCTGGAGTGCAATGACACGATCTCTGTTCACCACAACCTCCGCCTCCCAGGTTAAGCAATTCTCCTGTCTCAGCCTCCCGAGTAGCTGGGACTACAGGCGTGTGCCACCACACCCGGCTAATTTTCTATTTTTAGTAGAGACAGGGTTTCTCCATGTTGGTCAGGTTGGTCTCAAACTCCTGACCTCAGGTGATCTGCCTGCCTCGGCCTCCCAAAGTGCTGGGATTACAGGCATGTGCCACCGAAAAGTATGACTTCTTATGACAATACATGAATTTTCAAAAGTGACCAGAGTAAGAGAAGATAGTAACAATATATAGCAAAGTATTAGTTTCCAGTATATGTAATGAACTCTTACAGATCAGTAAGTAAAGGGAATAACCCATTGGAAAAATAGGGAACAGCTAGAATTCACAGAAAAGGAGATGAAAACGGCCAGTTGCTGTATGAGAAGACGCTCCGTCTCACAAGTAATCAAGAAAATGCAAATTTTAAAAGTGAGATACATTTTTAAAATCTATAGTAGTGCCAAACAAAAGCACTTGGCAATATCAAATGTTGGCAAGTGACGTCATTTGCCTTATTGACCAGGTCCCTTCTTCACAGGAGCTGGTGAGGGAGAACCAGGCTCTTCCTCTCGTGGCCACCCTGGCCCGTCAGTTTCCACGGAACTAGCACACCAGGCTGGGCAGGCCAGCGCAAGTTTCTTTACTGAAAGTTGGGTCCGTTTCAAAAGGACAATTTGGACACAGAATAGACAAATGTTAGAGTTTGAGAGTTTTCCCTTGAGTTTTGCAAGACAAAACATCTAGTAACTTCAGTATTCACCCGGAAAAATTCTCCAGTGGCCTCTCCCTCCGGCCCTTTCTCCTGCCTGCCTTCAGGGTCACCCCTTGTCTCATAGGCTTTAGTTTTTCAGGTCTCCTTCTTGGATAGATTCTATCCTGCCCACAGGTGAGCCCTCTCTTCCCATGCCAAGTTTCCACCTAACCTTGGTCTGGAGCAGGTGCAGGCTTCGGCCAGGTGGAAGCTGCTGGGTGGGTGCTGCCTAGCCTTGGATGCTTGGGTAAGGAGAAGCAGGGTGAAATTAGGGTGATGGGCTCCAGCCTGTTGGCCAAGGTTGAGCCTGGCTTCTCTCATTCAAGTTTCCTCATTGGCAAGAACTATAAGCCTGCCAGTTCTTTTATTAACAGATCTATAAAGTTGGCACCTCTCCCAAGGGCAGACCTTTTCTCCCCCATAGGACAAGACAGTCTAAAACCAAATTGAGGAAACAACACTTTCTCCGTTAGCACGGGCTTGTCCTGCCCTTGCAAACTTTGGTCTCATTATTGTCAGAGGGGCTTTTGATTTCTCCCCAGCTCCACTGACAGGGGGTGGGGAGAGCTGGATTTATCCTTCATAGCTGAGCTTTGTTGGAAGAGGACCAAGGAATAAATTCATTCAGCCCAGCCATTCTTTCTCCTTCCCCATATAAATGGAGAAAGACGGTTCCTACAATGCAATAGTATTTTCCATTTGCAAATGAGTTAGGAAGCCAGGGGCACATAGCATCAAGCCTATGGCAGGAACTCTTGCCTCCCTTTCAGTCAGAATAATTGTCTCCCACCTTTTCTTCAGACTTCCGTTATCACATCAGCCTCACTCTGACTTGGCTTACAGCATGTAGGTTTATATTGCCTGGATCCTATTTCAGGCTTTCTATCTCTGTCTCCACTGGACTCTGGCTCCCAAATGAAAAGGGGACCTGGAATATTTGGAAGTGAAATGGGAGAGTTCCCTGACCCCTGTCCCATGACGTGTGACAGGGGCATAGCTCTTATGTTCAGCCACCACATCCTCAAACCCCTTACCACAGGGGGAGCACGCAGATGGGCAGGTGCAGGAGCCAGGGTGAGCACTTTTTGGGCTCCGGCCCCACAGTAGCATCTATGGGTGGGTGTCTATGACTCCCAGAGTCCAAGTGGGCACATGTTACAGTGTTCTGTTAGCCTTGCTGTCCGTGGATTACTTAAGTGTTAGACAGTTCAGTGGACCCTCTAGGTATCTAGGTCTTTGTCCAGTGTCCAGGAAGAATCAGGTCACACATAAACTTGAAGGATGAATGCAGGGGGTTCATTGAGTGGTGGAGGTAGCTCTCAGCAGGATGGATGGGGAGCTGGAAGGGGGATGGAGTGGGAAGATGATCTTCCCCTGGAGTTTGGCTGTCTAGTGGCTAATCTCCTCTCCCACTGCCCCCAGCCAAATTCCTCTCAACATTCAGATGTTCCTTTTCTTCTCTCTACTGTGCCATTCTGCCATTCTTCTGCTCTTCTGTTTGTCTCCTCATCTGCTTCTGGAGCCTGGGGTCTGGGGTTTATACAGGTATAGGATAGGGGACATGGTGGGCCAAAAGGCAACTTTTGGGCATGAAAACTGGAGTGCCTCTTCCCATTTAGGGCCGCAGGTTTCCAGGTTTGAGGGTAAGGCCTTTGCCAGGGAACCACCCTCTTCTACCCAGTATTTCTGGGTCTCCTGTCTGTATCAAAAGCATATAGGGTTTGATGGTGAACAGCCCCAAATCCAAAGGTTAGTTTTACCCCTCACTAGTTGTGTGACTTTGACCTTATAATTTAACCTTTTTGAACTTCCTACTCCTCACCTGTAACACAAAGATACTATCTACCTTACTATGTTGTTGTAAGAAATGTAATATTTATAAAGTCCCTGGCACATGGCAGATCATCAATGATAATTGATAATCAGTTGGGGGACAGAGACCATTTCTTATTCATCTCTATGTCCTCAGCATCAAACCAGTGCCAGAAACATTGGAAGGGCCCAGAGAGTATTTGTTGGATTGAAATATCCTTTAGTCAAATGGTTTCCTGAGTCAACATGAACCCAGAGGTGTGCTGAAAATATAATTCATTCTGACTCCCTTCCTGCCAACTCCTCATAGAAAATGTACTCAGGAATGAAAGTGTTCACAGCAAAACAAAGGCCCTGGGTATTGAGAGTCTGCAGTGAAATAGAGAGGTCTGAGGGGTCAGGAGAAACAAAGCATCAGTCCACACAGACGGTCCCCCGGGGTCTCTGTAATTATCATGTCTTGTTTTGCAGGTCTGCTGTGTGACTGGTCTATTTAGGTTAGCAGAGTTGCCGAGGTGAGAGGTGCGCTCTGATTGGCCATGGAGGCTGCCCTTGTGTGCCTGGAGCTTTTCCTGACCGTGGTACAAAGCTTCCTTATGCAGTGCATGAAGATCCACCTGCATCTTCCCTCTGCTGCCTCTCCCTCTGGCTCTTTGGGCTGTGGTTTTAAATGGTTCTTCATTTAATCCATCAGAATGACTCAGAAGGAAGCAATTGTTTGTAAATGGGTCACTCCCTCAAGCATGGTGGCAGCCTTCTTATGATGAAGAAATTGGGTCTTTGCAAATATTAAGTATCTAACTGAAGGGTGAGGGGAGAGAGGCCCGCATGTGTTACGAGCTCTCCATGGAAACTGGGCAGTGTTCCTATCTTTGTTTTAGAGATGAAGAACCAAGGCTCTGAAAGCAACCATCAGGATGGGCACGGTGGCTCACACCTGTAATCCCAGCACTTTGGGAGGATGAGGTGGGTGGATCGCTTGAGCCCAGGAGTTTGAGACCGGCCTGGGCAACATGGCGAAATCCCATCTCTACAAAAGGTAAAAAATTAGCTGGATATCATGGCGCACACCCCACAGTCACAGCTACTCAGGAGGCTGAAGTGGGATGATCTCTTGAGTTCGGGAGGTTGAGACTGCATTGAGCCATGATCATGCCACTGCACTCCAGCCTAAGAGACAGAATGAGACCTTGTCTCAAAAAAAAAAAAAAAAGTGACCATCACTTAGCCAAGATCACAGAGGTAGCTAGTGGAGGAGCTGGAATCTGAACTTCAGCATGTTTGATTCCAAGGTTCAAACTCTCTTCTACTACACCACAGGTACCTGGTGGACACTGCAAACCCTGTTCACTGATTGACAGAAGTCAGGGTGGTACTCATGAGCTGGGGACATATGCCCCAGTAACTCAGCAAGCCTCTCAAGTTACATTGCCAAATACTAATGACTCATCTAATCCACACAGAGCATCTGGGGCCCAGCTCCAAGCTACTCCATAACAACAGAGGGCACCATCTTATTTATACTCAGGCCCTGTAGGATCCAACTTGTCTAGGAGATATTCTGGGGATGAAATGGAGGGGACCTCACTACACAACTCTAATAAATAGAACCAAGGCCATGGTTGCTTGAATATCTGAGGTCCCAGGGATGCCAGCCAACATGCCTGGCTTTCTGGGGTTGGGAGAGGAAGTAACCCACCTCTCCCTACTCTCTGTAAATACAGATATTATGAGGACCCTCCCATCCTTAGAAACAAGCCTGCCCACCACCATCTTTTCATGATGGTCAATATAGTATGTGGGTTAAAAACACAGATTCTGGAGCCAGACTGCCTGGGTTCAAATCTCAGCTCTGGTATTTACTAGCCATGTGAATTCCAGCAAGTAACTCACCTGTCAAAAGGTATAATGAAAAGACTACATACTTCATATAGTTGTAAGGCATTTATTAAATGAGCTGAAATGTGCTAAGTTCTTAGAACAGTGCCTGGCACATTCTAACTGCCTTAGGTATTGTTATTGTTGAGCATTGTGCTAGCTCTCCAGCCTTCCCTTCGAAGCCAGACTTCTCAGAAAAGTCTAGGGGCACTAACCCTCAAGCCTGATTCCTGATACAGACCATCTCATAATCTTGTTTCTGCCAACCTGCCCACAGCCTCCACTGAAATTGCTCTCTTAAAGGGCCCCAGGCGCCTCCTTCCTGAAGGTGGTGGATGATCAGTTCCTTTAGCAGAAGTCATCCCAGTAACTGTGCTGCTGCCACACCACGGCCCTTTCCACCTTCTCAACCCTCTGGTTTTCCTTTGGTGTCCGTGCCTTGACACTGGCAATTCTCACCTTTTGACATACCAAAGTTTAAAATGTTAGGCGGAATTAAAATTAACCATCATCCATCTCCTAAAAGCTTTCCCCCTAAACTTCTTTTCCTTTTTTAGACAGGGTCTCACTCTGTCAGCCAGGCTGGAGTACAATGGTGCCATCATAGCTCACTAAAGCCTCAACCTCCTGGGCTCAAGCAATCCTCCCATCTCTGCCTCCCGAGTGGCTGTGACTACAGGTGCATGCCACTGCACATGGCCCGCGCCAGACTTCTGGTAACAGCATGTATTTTGTCCCCACCATTCACCTTTCTCATCAGAGAGATCTGGTAAATGAGGCTTCACTGAACACACAGAGCCCAAGATGTGATTGTTTAACAACCATCCATCTTTATCCACCAAACTAGATTCCCTAGTGTCCAGGGAAAAGGTTGTTCCCATTTTCCTTATGCTGTAGGGACCTGCTATGGGAGGCGGACACGCATAGGGGCAAGGCAGAAGCAATGAACAGCCACTGGCTGGTCTCACTGGGTTATAAAGTGTGTTAGCCGGGCTCTCTGGGCAAAAATCAAAGGTCTCAACTCAGATCTTATGCAGATGTCCAACATACAGCCAAGTCCATGATCCTGTGACCTGCCAGGTTCATCATCCATCCCTTCTCCTTCCCAGTGTCTAGAACCATTCATCTCCCTGCATCCTCAGCCCTGAACCAGCACTGAGTCCAATTCTACCCTGATTTAGAGAAGAGGAGTGGATTAAAAACCTAGCTTAGAATTCAGCAACTCCAGCCTGTCTGCTGGCCATACTAGTGTTCGAAGTCCCCACTTCAAAACTAGGGTTCAAGTCCCCACACTCTAGTCGCTCCATCAAAGATTTGCCTTAATACCAACAGTTCAGGGAGAATTTTCTGCCCCCAACCCCCAACATACACACACCCCTACACACAATGCATGCATACATGTACACACACTCACTCATCCTTTGCAAACACCAGAGGCCTGCATCTGGTTCAGAGCTGTGCCCCAGGCCTCGAGTCCTGACAACAGTCTCTCTGATGCTCAATAGGTAGACACGGACCATGTCATCTTGGGGTTTACAGTAGGCCTGGCACATACCAGGTGCCTGAGAAATGTCAGAAGAGCCAAATTCTTGCTCCCTCATGCCTGCTGCCAGAAAAGTCATAAGGAACAGGATAAAGAGTATGTCCTTGGGGATGAGACAGCCTAGCTTGGATTTGGGTTCTGGCACTTCGTTGGCTTTGGGATGGTGAACACATTCCTCAACCCCTTTGCACCTCGGTTTCCTCAAGGTTGCGAGGATTAGCAACGACATACGGAAATGTGTGCTGTAAAAATGCCTGCCTGGGTTTGATCTTGAGAAATGGTGCTATGAAAACAGAATATTATAACTCCCCTCCCCTTTCAGAGGGGAAATAAATCAGAAATATACATTTTTCTTCAGGAAAAGAAGTACCTGTAATGAAAATAAACTATGAAGAAATTACCGTACCTTTGTTTATCCAGTGCAGAAACGCTGCCTCTGCTCTGAAATATTTGTAAGGCCTTCTGGGTTATAAAGTGTGTTAGCTGGACTCTCTGGGCAAAAATCAAAGGTCTCAATTCCGAGCTTTCTTCTGAGTTTTCACCCTCCCTAAGCTACCTGATGCTCAAGGTCCAGAAATGCAAGAGATTGCTCAGCTGTGCACTCCATCTTTGCCTCTTTATAAAATACAAATCAGGCTGGGAGTGATCGCTCACACCCGTAGTCTCAGCACCTTGGGAGGCCAAGACAGAAGGATCGCTTGAGCTCAGGAATTTGAGACCAGCCTGTGCGATATAGTGGGATCCCATCTCTACAAAAATAAATAAATAAATAAATAAAATATGAATCAGAACCCTATATTCTGTGCAGACTCCTAGCTTTGTGAAGCACATTTTATATGACTCCAAGAAGCCATAAAACCTGGCAAGTGTAGGAGTTTGCTGAATGTTACACATTTACTCACTCGAGATATACATGTACAGAATTTAGTTTTGTTTGGGATTTTTTAAAAAATGTTCTCTCCCTCTGTCCTCCTCCTTCTCTGGTTGTTCCCCAGCACTGTGAATAACTCCAGGAGCCTTTAGTGTTTGAGGCGGCAGCTTCCTGTGCTGATTCTCCCTGTTGGAGGGAGGTGTAACAAGTTTCTATTGATAAAAGTGCTTTGGACAATTTCAGAAACTAAAATTCATCTCAAAACAAAATAGTAGCGATTGTTACTGCTGTCATTATTGTCAAGTCCTCGTACATCAGCTTTCCCCCAGACAGTGGTAGTCACCCACTTGCTAAGATACCAAATTTACCTCTTCTTGGAATCTCCCTCCTTCTGCCTTCTGTCACCTTTCATTTCTTCAATAAATATTCCTCGGGCTCCCACTTTGTGCCGGCATGGTCCTGGATGCAGCAGATCCACAGGTGAATGAGACAGGCACGTGCCTCCCTGCTTCATCCATGTCCTTTCTAGTGGGGTGGCAGATGATGCACGAAACCAACTGATGTTACCTAGATGGCAATAAAAGTGTTATGGCACTGTAATGGGCTGGAGGGATGGAGGAGGGTACCGTGTCAGACCACAGGGCCAAGGAAGACCCCTCGGAAGAGAGTATTTAGGCAGAGAGCCAGCTGCATGATCTGGCAGAGGGGGCACAGACTCCCAGGAGACAGAAAGCATGAAGGTCCAAGAGCAGAACAAGCCTGGAGTGTTTGAGAAACAGAAAGGCCGGTATGAGGAGGGGAGGGGGATCTTAGATGAGGTTAGGAGGTAAGGACAGGCAGCAGGTCACACAGGGCTGCAGGCCGAGGTTTCATTCCAAGGGCTGTGAGAAACCAAGGAGAGCAGATTAAAAAGATCTGTCTTGTGGCTCCACAGAGAAGGCACTGCACGATTTGAGAGCAGAAGCCAAGACCACTCGGGAGGCTGTTGTGAAAGTCCCAGTAAGAGATGAGGTGGCATGGACTGGAATGGGGGAGACAGAGGTGAGAAGGCGCTGGAGGCAGGATCTATTTCAGAGCTGATAGGACTCGACAGTGGGTTGAGGTGGGTGTGAAGGAAAGAGAGGAAGGAAAACAGGCCCTCTGCCTCCCCAGTACGCGCTTCGCCAGCCTTTCTGACTAGCCAAGACCCTGCCCCAGCTCCCACCTCCACCCAAGCACCACCCTGATTTCCCTCCTCACAGGCTACGTGTTCCAGAGCCCCCCTCCTCTCTCACCTGCACTCTCACCTCCCCAGCTTCTGTTGTAACTCCAAGAAGGAGGAGGGAAAAAAAGGACGTGACTGGCATCTGCAATGGCAGCTGCTCTTGGCCCAGTGTGAATGTGTCTGGGATGTAAATCTGTTGTCTCTCTGGATAAAACAGGAAACAATTACTCATGCAGATGAAAAACTTTTATTCCCCTCCTTGACAGCTAACATCTCAAGGAGCCTTTACTATGTCAGTCCTCAGTTGAGATAGAAGCAAATATTTAACATCTATAGTCTCTGGGATAATGTAAGGCAGCTCCTGGTTTAATAATGAGCTTCTGATTTTTGGCAGGACCAAGGAGATACAAGGCAGGGAGAGGAGGAAGGCAAAGAACAGCGAGAGAGGTTCTAGGGAAGCGCACCTGAGAATTGCATGTGAAAATTATTTGAAAGTGGAGGAAGTCGATATGGTACTGGGTACTGGTCTAGTTACTGAGATGATACAGGGGCTCCTGGGAAAGATGAGCCCTTAGACAGCACCTGGGCAGGGGACAGGGACCAGAACTGGAAATTACAGCCCTGGGTTCCAAGCTGGGGCTTATTTCATTCAATCATTCACTCATTTAACAAATCTTCATTGAGCATCCACAATGTGCCAAGCCCTGAGTAGATTTTACTTTAGGTACTGGCAGGAGTGGGAGGGGATTAACAAGTAAACAGAAAAATTACGATGCAGAATAAGCATTAGAAGAAACCAGCACAGATTTGGATGCTGCTAAAAGAGCCCAAAGAAATTGCATCTAAGCAGAGGCCTTAGGAGGAGGTGGGCAAAGGCAGAAGAGATGGAATTCCAGGCAGACGGAACAGCATATGCAAAGGCAGAAAGGCAAGAGGTGCTCAGCAGGCCCAGGGAGTTGCTAAGAGCTCAGTGTAGCTGCAAAGTGGATTGTAAAGTGTGGAAGGCAGCTTCTAAAATAGCTCTCAAGTTCTTCACCTCCTGCAGTTTATCCTTTGCACAGTCCTTGAATGTAGGTATGACTTGTGCCTTGCTTCTAACCTGTAGAAAACAGGACAAAGGTGGCCAGGCACAGTGGCTCACACCTGTAATCTCAGCACTTTGGGAGGCCGAGGTGGGTGGATCACGAGGTCAGGAGATTGAGTACATCCTGGCTAACACGTGAAACCCCGTCTCTACTAAAAATACAAAAAGTGCTGGGTGTGGTGTTTGTTTATTTATTTATTTATTTATTTTTCAACTGAAAAAGCTTAGTAGCCCAGCCCTGTGGTTATCCACTAACTCCAAAGTTATCAACTAGTGCTTAGCTAGTTACGGGCTTATAAACACCAGAATTCTAGCTCAGCTCCAGCAAAGATTAGTCAACAGCTGGCAAAGAGAAATACAGACAGGGGGACAAGAGCCAGAGAACACCAGAGACAAGAGCGAGGCTGATTGGGAAGCCAGAGCTGCGAAGCCAGACAGCCAGCAGCCTCTTTCCAACCCTATTCCTCCACTACATCGTCACTCAGGTTTCTCTTTTCTTCGCTGTTTTCCTGGCTCACTTGAATCAATTTACAGGTGACTCCATACACCTGTCTGCCTCTGCACTTCCGAACCCAGTGGGGTCTTCATCCCTATCCAAAGGAGGCTGGAGAGTGAGGATTGCTCATCCAACTCTGGCTGAGGGCAGCTTCTGGAACAAAGAGGCTGCTTAGAACACGCCCATGGAAAGAAGTCGAATTGAAGCCATTGGAATTCCCCGCTTGTTGATGCTGGAGTGAAGCAGAGACATTCCATTCCGTAAGGCCCATTTTGTAGATGGGGAACTGAGGTTAGAAAACATGTCCCTTGAGCCCTGTTTTTAATGATGACAAAGAGACAGTGGTGTGTAGTACAAAAGGCCTTGAACCACAGATGCAGAGATCTGGGCTCTACTTGTACCTCTGTCAGGGACGCCCTGGTTGACTACAGACAAGCCACTTATTCTCTGAATTTAGGAGAAAATCAGAAATTGCTGATTCATCACTCATTCAGCAAACATTTCTGGAGCCTCTTTGATGTGTCAGGCCTGGGGATAACTATTGAAATATGTGGGCTCCAAACTGTAGCCAGATCACATCATGGAAGTCGGGTTTGGCCCTGCGGCCACGTGTCCACATGGCTTTCGGTCACGTTTTCTCACTTGCTGTGTCTTCTTCACATATGTGTAAATGAGAGGAAAGAAGGCCTGTTTTTCAGGCTGCTATGCAGATTGAATAGTAACATAGGATGGTGCAAAGAGCAGCCCTGGCCTGCAGAGGCTCTCAAGCGGTAGACAGCGTTGGTCAACGGACTGCTGCAAAGAACCAGCAACAGGCAGGACACTCAGTAGACCAGGGTCCACTCTGGAAACACTTCGTGCAAGCCACACACCTCTGGAAACTTAGCAGGAAGGCTTAATTTGAAACACTTGTGGTCATACTTCAGGATGTCACTTGTAATTTCCATGATCTGTAAAAAGGTGAACTTTCACACACATTTAATAGCTTCATTCTAACATCTCAGGTACCCCATAAACACGTCACTCTGCACCCACAAAAACTAAAAATAAAAAATTTTAAGTTGTTTTATGATATAAAAATAGCTTGAATCTAATCAAAACTATAGACAAAATCATGAGTTTGATATTCTGGTAACTTTTTGGAAATACAGAAATGCATATTCATCATTGCAATTCTCTATCTTTGCAGCAGTTATAGCCTATCAGGAAAAATTCCGAGAAATAGAAAAGCATTATAGATGGGATGAAATCATTAACAAGAGGTAGATGATGAAAATTTCCAAATGAGGGGCATGAGTAGTAGGGGTGACCTCGGCTTCCAAAGGGGTCTCTGGCCATAGAGTGAGGCGGGAGATTCCAGGTGAGCCCAGACAGGAGCAAGGAGGGGGTTGGGCTTGTGACCAGAGCTCGAGTCTGGGAAGGGCCTCCACTGGCCACCCTGAGCACGATGAAGGTGTGGTACAATACCCAGCAGGGGCCTCAGCACGTGCAGACATGGGCCATCACCCCCTCCTGAGCTTCGAGCCCCCAGGGAGGCAGGCAGGAAGTGGTGTTTGCAGAGAGCTTTCAGCTGAGTGCCCAGCAGATGCCCTTTGTGCAGATGGTACATTTCCCAGGAGATCTCTCTCTGTGCCCTGCCCTCCAGCCCCACCCCTGGTACCAGGGAGGGCCACACCAGGGCAGGATCCAGCAGGACAGCAAGAAGCCAGCTCCCTGCCTGCCTGACTACAATACAAGGTGCCTGTGGCTCTCAGACTGTGCAGTAGTGGAGCAGTGGAGCTGCAGCCAGCCAGAACCCGGTTCAAAGTTCAACTCTGCCTCTTACTAGCTGGCTGACCTGGGCACTTCCTTCCTTTTCTGGCCCCTGTCTCCTTCTCTGTAAAACTGAACATGAATACCTGTCTCATTGGACATTGCATCCACCCGATATTTACTGGGCATCAGTTATGAGTTAGGCACTGTTCCTGCTGTGAGATCCCAACGACACCCGGGGAGATCAATCATCATACTCAATAGAGCTTTCATTTATCACGTGCGTGCTTCCTCTATACCAGACCCTGGATGAAATGGTTTACAGCTAGTATCTCGTTTAATCTTCACCAAAACCCAAGCAGAGGTCGAATCATCCCATTTAACAGTTCAGAAAAAGAAGGCTCAGGAGGTGAAACAAGCTGCCCAAAGAGTTTCAGCTTAGCACAGCACAGCTGGGATGGAACCAAGGCCTGTGGGACACCAGCTGCCTCCCAGTACCTCTCAAGGAGTCCACACCTGGGACATTCTGGGGAAATGCCTGGCATTAGCCAAGGTCCTTGATCCCCTTCCCACACTGCGTTGCACACAGGATGGGGCACACTAAGTGTCCATACCCAGTCAGGAGTGACTGGTGGAGGGTAGAACAGCATAACCAGGCATTCCACCTCACATCAGGGGTCCTGCCCCTAAATCTCAGTGGGACCTCAGCCAAGTGGCTCCCCATCTGGGCCTGGGCAATGAAGAGATGACAGTTGATAAAGATCTTTTGGAGAGTTCTCTGAGCACTGATCAAATATAGAGTCACCATTTGGATCAGAGGGAGCTCGTGTTTCTGGCCTTGGATGCTGGCCTGCCACTCTCTAGCTTTGTGACCTTGGGTAAGTGACTTAACCTCTCTAAGCCTCGATCCAACTCAATTTTCCTGTCTGTATTCTAGGGATAGTAATAATGCCTTCCTCATAGAGCTCAGAGGTTAAAGGAGATGATAGAGGCAAAGTGCCAGAGCAGGGTGCCAGGCCCCAGCGGGGTGCAATGACGTGCTGTGATCATATGAAGAGTGGGTATGGTGGCAACCCCATATCCCTGCATCCTCCTGGCCCCAAGCATGGGAGGCAACACCCAGTAAACCTGTGGAATTGAGTTGAATCTACCAACCCCAGATAAGAACCCATGTGCAGTGACATGAACCCACTTGTAAAGACCTCATAGGAAAAAAATATGCTTTGTCCACAGTCCAGGATGGGAGGTCCAGTGGGGGCTTTATTGAGCAGGGCAGAACCTATTTTCTTTTTTCTCTTTTTATTGTTTTTTTTTTCTTTTTTTTTTTTTGAGACGGAGTCTTGCTCTGTCACCCAGGCTGGAGTGAAGTGGCGCGATCTCGGCTCGCTGTAAGCTCTGCCTCCCGGGTTCACGCCATTCTCCTGCCTCAGGAGAATGTTAGCCAGGATGGTCTCGATCTCCTGACCTTGTGATCCCCCCGCCTCTGCCTCCCAAAAGGCTGGGATCACAGGCATGAGCCACCACGCCCGGCCCAGAGTCTATTTTCTTTCCCTCCATGCTAGAGTCAAGCCCATGTAGGGAGCTCCAAATGCCATGCCTTTCCCTAGCTGGTGACTATTGTTATGCCGAACCCCTGTCTACTCCAATGGGGATGGCAGCAAGTTCGAGAGGCTGAAGAAGGGACCCAGGACTGGTGAAGGAGATGCGGAGTTTTACTGGGGCTTACATGCAGGGGAGAGCATCTAGCAGTGGCAGGCTGGGCAGGAGAGCCACACAACTTGCAAAAAGCATGCAGCGTATATAGCGTCTTCACTTAGCACCCTCCCCCAACAGCCTCCATCTGGCAACATTTACTTAACCCAGAACAAGGGGCCTTGATCCCCTGTACTGTCTGTGTTGCACAGGACTGGACAGGAGCTCAGATGTTCCTCATAGATAAGGAATCAGAATGAATCTCCAGGTTGGCCACTCCCAGATTCATCAGCTCAGAACTCCAAACCACATTCACCTGCACCTGCCACAAGGGTCATTCTCAGGGGATGCTTAAGTGATTGCTATCAGGTGTGTTCACCGTAAGCGGCTTTTGCGGAAATCGCCTGCCGGGACTGGATGAGCAGGGCCATCATAGGAGAAGGTCCCCCAGGGTCAGAAGAGCCTGGTGATCTCAAGCACATCAGCTCTCCAGGCCTCACCTTCCCCATGCATCCATCCAGGGACCTCTTCCTCTGTGTCACTCTGGGCTCCATCCTCTTGGTGCATTTGGAGTCAGATGAGACCTTGGTTCAAATCCTTGGCTGGAGGGATGCAAGATGCACATGGAAGGAGAACCAATTCATCCTGTGCAGGCTCTTCTAGAGCAGCTGGTCCCCTGCCGAACTGTCTAGCTGACCCTAGGCACCAGGGCAAGCCCAGCCAAGGTGGGCCAAGCCAGGCCCCGACTGGCAGAAACACTCAGCTGACTTGAGACACGTGGGCGACAGTAAGTGCTCGCTACATGTCGGTGTGGCTTGTCACGGAGCAATAGCTCACCGGTGCAACCAAGAGGCAGCAGGGCGGTGCGTACATTAAGCAAACAGTCGTCCAGCTGCCAAGGAACATTTCATATAGGAAGGCAGTATACAAAGGCAGGAAGCCTTGACAGCACCTGCAGTTTACCAGCAGGGTAGTTGTGAGGCCTGGTGCTGTGGGGGTCCTTCTACCACGAGAGAAGCCAGCCTGGGGACAGAGGACGGAGGAGACCCTGTTCCCCACTTGTCCCCTCGTGTGCTCCCACATGGCACAGATATTTGATGCTCAGAGCTGTGCCAGGCATCTTACAAAGGTGAAGGAAAGGAAAACTGTATAAATGGGGATGCTAGCTCAGTGCCCTGACCTGATGAACCAGTGCTGGAAGCTTCTGTTCAGGTATAAAAATAAGTGCTTCTTATTTCAGCTACACTGGCGGGCTGTCTTTTGCCTGCTGCTGAAACTCCTATCCGATGCACAGCGGCTGCCTGGTCCCTGCAACTCCCTGATTTCTGCAAGACCAGGCCAGACACCAAGAACCTCCCATTCTGTCCCCATGCCAGAGGTCTGTGCCTAGTTGGTGCACTTCTGAATGCAATTAAAAAGCTTGTTTGAGGCCAGGTGCCATGACTCATGCCTGTAATCCCCACACTATGGGTGGCCGAAGCAGGTGGATCACTTGGTCAGGAGTTCAAGACCAGCCTGGCCAACATGGTGAAACCCCGTCTCTACTAAAAATACAAAAATTAGCCTGGTGTGGTGGTGTGTACCTGTAATCCCAGCTACTTGGGAGGCTGAGGCAGAAGAATCACTTGAACCCAGGAGGCGAAGGCTGCAGTGAGCCGAGATCATGCCACTGCACTCTAGCCTGAGTGACAGAGTAAGACTCAGTCTCAAAAAAAAAAAAAAAAAACATTGTTTGGTGCTCAGCCCAAGTGTGGGACATTTTGTTTCTATTTTATTTTTTTCTCAATTGATTCTTTATGAAAAGTTCTTAACCTGCTCTGCCTTTTAAAACACTCTGTGTCACCCCTGCAAACAGCACAATCCAACAAGGTGCTGGTATTATTTCAAATTGCTGTCCACTTAAGATTAAAGTCCAAAAAGAAAGAGAGAAAATAAATAATCACAAGGCATGAAACTGACCACACCACTGCTGTCCCCTCTTTGGCTCCACACACACTCTCAGACTTCCTGTTTCTGATTGCAGGCGTGTAGCTGGAAGGTAAACCGAGATAGTATGAAAACAGGTGGAACCGGCTGCAAAAAGAGCACTGGGGCAGGAAACCTGGATCCTGTGCTGCTCGGATGGACTTGGCTGTGTGACCTTGGACTTGGCCACCCACTCTCTGTGCTTCGGTTTTCTACTGTGTTCAGGGCAATCTCACTAAGTCCTTTTCCCACTCTGCTCCTCTGTGAATTGAGTGAGGATCTTTCTCTTTAATTTCAGCCTCCATCTTGTAAACCAAAAAGTATCTGAGACAGGTCTCAATCGATTTAGAGATTTGTTGTGCCAAGGTTAAGGACATGCCTGGAAGTGTAAAAAAAAAAAAAAAAAACCACGAAATTACAGCAACAGTCTCTAGTCTGTGCCTTTCTCCAAAGATGATTTTGAGGGCTTTGATATTTAAAATGGAAAAGCAGGCTGGAGGGGAGAAAGGCAGGGTATGGTCACATGACTGAATCCCCATGTTACAAAGGAAAAGGAGCAGGTAGGGGATAGTCAATTATGTATTTGTCTCATGCTCAGCAAATCAGCAGTTTACGTAAGATAAGGTGAACATAGAGTAGCTACCTGTGGAGCTATTTAACCTTTTATTTGTAGCGATCTACTTAGGTGCCAAAGGAAAGGCAGCTTCTTGCATGACTCAGCTTTCAGCTTTTTTTTTTTTTTTTGCCTTTTTGGCATAGTGAATTGGGTTCCCAAGTTTTAATTTTCCTTTCAGAATCTGCAGCTGCAACCATGTCCCATGAGTGTGGTAAGGCTTAGGGTGTTTTTGGAGATGAGCAGGCCCGAGTTTTAATCCAACTATGATGCCCAAATGCTAAGTTAATGTTGGACAAATATTTAACCAACCTGATCTTCAGTTTGTCGTCAGTGAATGGGGAATAATAATAATAATAATAATACCTTCTTTTGATAATTAGAGACAATGCATATGAGATATAAGCACACAGCAGATGTTCCATGGCTGGTAAATATTCTCCCTCTTCTTCTTTGTGTAGTTGTCTGCTTGCTGTGTGTCTATGGAAGTCAGATGAGCATTTGCCCAGAGGCTGGGTAGATGGAGCCCACAAGCTCATAGGAATAAAATAACTAGAATGGAAACAGAAACTTAGGTGTTCCATATGTTGTAACTCATTTTTGGCTGGAAATTATAGAGACTTCGGTTGGGAGTGTCATTAGATACTTGGAAAGGATGGGCAATGATTAGCACAGGTGGCTGGAGATGAACTCCCTGAACCGGCCCTGACATCTTGTTAGAGACAGAAAAGCTCACATAGGTGTGAGCCTAGAATTTCAGTTAATATGCATTTATTCCGTATCTTGTCATCACAGAGTTGAGTTTTGCAGTCTGCTAAGAAGAGCAAAGAACTTCCCAGTAATATTGAAAGGTAATAGTCCTAAGGACCTTGAAAAGCTACATTTGTTAGGGAGTTTATTGTAGAATAGCACGCTTATTCAGTAAAAGTGGAAAATTACCTTTGTGATTGATTTCACCGGACAGCACTAGTGATCACCCATCATGACTTCCACTTTCGCTTTCAGTCACCTCCACCTGTTGTGCATCTGGCAAAAACAGGAAAATGGCTAATGATTTCTTTCCCCAGATGAGTATTTGTTTTTTATATAAGAATAATGTGACCAGACACGGTGGCTCACGCCTGTTGCGTGAAGTCAAGGACCCCGAACGGAGGCCAAATTAATACTTTTATAATTTCTTACACCTGTCTTTACTGTAATCTCTGAACATAAATTGTGAAGATTTCATGGACACTTATCACTTCCCCAATGAATATCCTTGTGATTGCCTATGCCTGTCTTTACTTTAACCTCTTAATCCTGTCTTCTTCTTTGTAAGCTGAGGAGGATGAATGTCACCTCAGGACCCTGTGATGATTGTGTCAACTGCACAGATCGTTTGTAGAGCATGTATGTTTGAACAATATGAAATCTGGGTATCTTAAAAAAAAAGAACAGGATAACAGTGATGTTTAGGTAACACGAGAGGTAACTTTGAACTGGCTGCTGGTGAGCTGGACGGAACAGAGCTATATTTCTCCTCTTTCAAAAGCAAATAGGAGAAATATTGCTGAATTCTTCTTCTCAGCAAGGAACATCCCTGAGAAAGAGAATGCGCCCTGAAGGTAGGCTTATAGACGGCCCCTTTTAAGGCGTCCGTCTTTTATGGTTAAAGCCGAAGGGATGAAATAAGCCTCGGTCTCCTGTAGCGCTCCCAGGCTTATTAGGTGGAGGAAAATTCCCGCCTAATCAATTTTGGTCAGAGGTTGTCTGCTCTCAAACCCTGTTTCCTGATAAGATGTTATCAATGACAATGCGTGCCCGAAACTTCATTAGCAATTTTAATTTCACCTCATCCAGT